CAGGGCAGCCAGAGGGATGTCCTGGACTCTGACACCATAACAGACCAGATTAGGGTAGAATGAGACCACTTGCCAAATCAGCATGTGAAATTAACACTTTATTTGATAAAATATTAAATTAGTGAGGAATTTGCTTTTGCCAGTTTGATGTGTTTCCAGATGAATAAAAATGCAGCTTTTTATATTGTTAAAATGTTCCATCAGAGCTCGCTTAGGAGATAATCACCCAGTTGTGAGTCACCAACATCTCTTACTACCACACTTGAGGAGTTCAGGCTGGCTCATCATGTATCTTTTGAATCATTTCACTGACTGCCATAAATGCATCAATAGATGGTCTGAATGGTTTCTATATATATATATAGATATGCATACACACAAATATATATAAAATATGTCAAATTAAGTGCCTGAGTTCCCAACCAGTCATGCTTCTGTCAGTGAGACTCTGCCCATATCCATTTCTGTATTTGCAGAATGATGAGAGCCAAATCTACTTTAGAAAAGCTGTTTCAGGTGTCAATATCTGAATAATCTTCAGAGTGTGGTAATTTTTGAGTCTAAAAGCTGGGTTTCCTCTCATTTGAGAGTGGGTCTCCTATGACAAAAAATGCCTCTAAGTTTTATGGCTTTTGCCCTCCTCCTCTCTCCAGTTTCTACCTGCTCCTCAGTCATCTCTGTACACTGCTGTTCGGAGTAAGAGCAGTAAGAGAATGCTGGAGAGTGATGCTGGAGAACTTTAATGCCATTCACTTCTAGGTGCCTATTTCCACTTAACCTAGGAGGCTTCTACCTGCCAGCTTGTTTGTAACTTGTGAATTCAGTCAGTAGTTCACAGTTTAGCTGCCAGAAGACAGCACATCAAAGCAGGGGACAAGACTGAATAGATTGCAGAGATGGAAATAAAAGTAGGTCTCTTTAAATCAGGGTGATGTGTATTGGTAGGGCTTGTGCCTTCAGAAAGTTTATATTGTCTTTGTTTTCCATCTGGAGAGAGAAGTGTGCTGTCATGATACCTTTCCTTTTTTGCTAAACTTTATGTTAAAAATGTTAGAGTGAAAAACACCTCAGATGTTTCCTGTACAGGCATGGAAATGATCTGAGCTATAACATTTGCTTTGTTCCCCCTGCTCCCTTCATCCTCCACCCCACCTAGATAGATGGCTGGGGCTGCACCAGACAAAGGCAGCGGCCCTGCTGATCCCTCTTTCAACACAGCTATTATCATCAAAGAACAAAAGCAAACACTACTGGCTTGCGGCTCAGCCCTTTACAAAGGAGCAATAAATGGACTCTTGTGTATAGAATAAAGCAAGCTCTGCCTTGTCTTACATTAAGAGGCAGACCTTTCTGTGTTTGAACTGCTCTGAGCTGAAGGAAGTGGAGAAACCTCCATCTATGTGGCAGTGAATCCCATGGTCACTGAATTTTTTTTGTTGGCCATGGGTTTTGCGTGCTTCCTCCTTAATTGGAATGCTCTGCCTCCTCAGTCCCTGTGGCAGCAAGGAGGTCTATGTAGTTGGAGGAAGGTAGTGCTAATGGAAGAGTGGAAACACTCCTATTGTTTTTATTTTTTAAACAGTCCTATTGTAGACAAAACAGAAAAACATAAAGAGAATTTGGAAGAACATCTCAGATGGCAGGGTCTGAAGGAAAGTCATCTTAGGTCCCCAGATCTGGTCCCAGTAGCTACATGCCATCTCTGTTATTTAACTTTCTCAAGGCATTAGATGTCTCCTAATTGTAGAGCCAGCATCCATAAGGTATGGTGGGTCCCTTTTGTCAATATATGCAGCCACAGTTTCAATTGTGAACCAAAATGGAGTAAGATTCCACACTGCAAAAGTATGATGGTGTTTCCCATGAGGACTTACATTTAACATTTAAAAAAATATTTAAAATTTAATATTTTTTTTTCACTCAGGCTTGGTGTTTGGGCACTGGAACAGGCTCCCCAAGGAGGTGGTCACAACACCAAACCTGACAGACCTCAAGGGGCATTTGGACAAATCTGTCAGGCACATGGTGTGGTTCTTGGGCATAGTGCTGTGCAGAGCCAGGAGCTGGACCTGATGATCCCTGTGGATCACTTCTAACCCAGAATATCCTGTGCTTTGTGATTCAGTGACTTGCATGGCAGTTTCACTTGTATGCCACAGTGGTATTTATTGTAGGGTCTTTTGTGAGGACTGACTGGTTATGTGTCATTTTTGTGTCTTCACAGAGAAAGCAGTGCTTTCTCTTGTTGTTTTAAACTAAAAAGCAAATAGTTTCACCATTTGGAAATCAGCATTTGCCAGCAGATACCACATGGGGGGGTGTCTGCAATACAAGAAACTCCTTCAGCATTTAGTATGGGAAGTAACACTAATGACCCAGGCTGCCATGTAGGTAAGTACTGTGAAAGTTTCACAGAGATGCAACCAGTGACTTTAGTGGTGCAACTAGTGTATAAAGAAATAGTTTCGGGTGGAAACTTTGCAAAAAAGGATACAGCAAAAAAAACCTAAGAGTTAAATCAGTCGGGATGGGGCATGCCTGCTCTTAGGGACATTGGCACAAAAAAAAGACAGGTAAAAAGAAATCCCCTTGCTGTTACTTGCCATTGAGAAATTAAATTTTAGATATGCTTATTTTAGCTTTTAGCACTTTATCATTTGCCTTTTAACACCTTCATGACCTGTTTAATTCTTGCACAGTTAAGTAAGTATTATTTCAAGCAGTGTATCATCAGTTACAGCCCACTGCCTCTTCTCTTATTTACTTAATGTGTTTATCCCTTGCTAACCCTTGGCTAGCTCTTTCCTTTGCCCTTTCTATCTGCTGGTAATTTTTATTCCCCAGCCATCCCACAGATTTCCTGCTGAAGCAGAGGCATCCTGGTGATGCCGCCTGCTGTTCCAGGCCCCCATTGATCGCCTGGACTGCAGCAGTGCCTGCTCCATTGTCAGGTGTGCAGGGAGGCTGAGAGGACAACATGGGTTGAAAACTTTTTACCTGCTTAGAATAGAATTTCAAGCAGATGCTGGATTTTCAAAACCTTGGCAGTACCGTATAGTAATCACTTCTACCTCTTCTGAGATCTGTGATCATCTCTGACTGCCACTGATTTGTCCCAAGCAGCGCATCAACTTAACACTGCTCCTAGCAGTGGACTTGTAAATTCTTTGTCATCATGTTCACATCCTGGAGTGGTGTTTAAGGGTCTGCTCCTTCCTTCTGCCCCGCTATCACCTTCTTTTGCTTTCCATCCTCAGTGCCTGCATTGCTACCTGACACTTGTTTTCTTTTCCTACCTAAAAGGAATTACTTTCAGGTAAATTTTCTGTGCTTATTGTACTTCTAGGCCTGCAAACCAAGACACTGGTTCTTAGATGCAATTATGGGTTAAAAGAGGAGAGGCAGCAAATAATCCACATCAAATCTGCCATATATGTTTAGTAAAAGCTATGGAATTTAAATGAATTGATGCAACAGTCCCTCCCCTCTTCATGCATTGTTTTATTTGCATTGTTAGGGCGGGAAGGTATAGCTTGATGTTCCACAGAGACTTTTCTACAAATGGTTTTGGAGCCATTAAAGAGTGATAAGCAAAAAGCAGCATGCATGGGACTCACTCATCACTGAATTGCATGTGTCTCAGGAGAACAAGAGAACAAGTGGCACCAGGTTCACAGGAGCACAGTGGGTTTGGACAGGAAGGTGGAATACTGATGGAAATTGGAGGGCACACTGGGAGAAGAAGAATATAGCCTTAAACCTTAGTATGAAGCCAGTGCACTCAGTATGTCATGCTCCTGGATTTGTGGCAGAAGTAGTCTGGCATCTGTAGTCCAGATCATGAATGTATTTCTTTGAAGCTTTACTGGAAGGTGATAACTCCACCAGCCCACTCCTGGTGGGTACAAGCTTCCAGGGGAGAATGCTGTCTATGGACCTGGTCTCTCTGTTTCCTCAAGCAAGTTTTTGTTTGTTTGTTTTTTTTTTTATTTTTTTTTTTTTTTTTTTTTTTTTTTGAGGGTTTAGTTGTAAGGAAAATATTAATCTAACCCTATGAGATTTCAGGGGATTCTTCCTCTTGGTATTATGGTAAGTGTAGCTTATTCAGAGAAAGACTAAACTTGTCATGCAAAAAAAGTTATGAGAAGCATTTTGTTGAAGTACTTTCTTTGGGATTGGTGGGCTCTTCCCAAAACAGTACATTCAAATATATGCCTTCTCTGTTATCAATACTATGAATTACACCGTCTTGCTCCTCCCTTTTTAAAGGACTTATTTATTTTGAGATTTATGTGATTGGTTCTCAAATGTGGTCTTATACCACAGAGAGAAAAAGTATCAAATGACACTTTTCCTGAATTTATAATCTTTTGAAAGAGAGTATATGCAGAGCTCTGGCACACTTCCTTCTCCCCCACCTTTATTACTGTCTGCAATGAAGGATGGTTTTTGGGAGATGATGGGCAGAAAGAATGAAAAGGAATGGGCTCTCTTCTAGACTTTGGGACTATGTGGTTTGTCTTACACCTGGTCATAAATTCACATGGCCCCTATAAAAGGGGAGCAGGTTATTTTCTATTTTTCTGGAAACTTGCTTGAATTTATGTGATATAGAAGCCTTCTACAGGCAGGTTGGTTTTGGTTTCTCTCTTTTGCATTTGTGTGTGTGAAAAACATAGAATATTTTAACTAATATTCTTACAGGAACTGATGTGGCTTGGTTCTATCTGATTCCAGGAACTCTCTCCGGACAGATATGATGGTGGATTCACTTTTACATGCACAGTGGAGAAGGAGCCAGTGCCTCCTCCCTTGCATGGTGGCGTGCTTGGATGCAGATGGGTGGCCTTCAAACAAACCTAATTACTTCTGGTTTTGCATGAAATTGATTTCCATGCAAGGATGCTGAGTTGCTGTGTGCATCTCTAATGGCTTTTTTTCTCTTCTCTTTCTTTCTCTTTCTTTTCTCCCTTCTGCTTGCCATGAACACACCTCGACAGATGTCAATCATATTCCAGGTAAGTGTTACTTTTGCTGAGCTGAAAGGCTGATCCTTAAGGAGTGGTGGTAAGTTACCAAGGCAGGTCTCATCCTGCTTCCTGCTGGACATCACAAGGTCTGGATTGCACAGGCTTTGCTAAAAGAAGGTCTTCATAGTAGCAAAGGTCACAAACTTCCCTCTTCAGAAGCTACGTTGTGTTGGTCAGTTAAAGGGATGTTTTCTTAATGAAAATTACATTAAGAATGGTTGTTAGTATTACTAATTGAACCTGGCACTAAAAAGTGCATTATATACAATTTATTTCTGATACATCTGTGTGTAGTCTGGTGTAAAAATCTACTTTAGTAATTTTCTTTCTCCTACTGCAGTCTACTCCATTTGCTACTCCCACTGATAACATGCTGAATTTCAGTTCTACTAAAAAAATTTGGGTTTTTTAAAATTTTTTTTTATTTTACATTTTTATAAACCAGTGAGTATCTTTCTGGCTGAATCTGAATGTGTGAGCTTATTTAGGTATCAAATTTTATTCTCACCAGAGCACAAATGATTTGAAAGGAAAAATGAATGTATGTTTCGTGTGCTTGTTTAGATGTGAAGTTCTTTCACAATAGTGTATGTTACCACAGAGAACTCCAAACCTTCCTCCTCCATTTGCTGTCTCATTGTTGACAGGATCAGGGTCTCCCAGCTTCAGCTACAAATATTAGATGGACTAGGCCACTTTAGTCCACCTTCTGTTGCCAATGAAACTTTAGAAACAAATTTTTACTTCACACTTAGGCAGGCAGTTCCACCTGCTTTATCATTATCTGAAATAGAAATGAGACCCCAAGAAACCACCCTATATTGCTCTGGTTGGAATCGGATAATGGTCAAGTCAAAGCTCTTTTCCTTCTCAGCTTTCTGCATCACTTTTGCTAAATCTAACCTGGAATGAGTTATCTGGATCTGTAATGTGTTCTCTGTTCAATTTGCTTCTTTTCTACACTTGGATAATCAGATTGTGTGCATCAGTCCAGAGAGATGCAGGGAGGGCCTGAATACCCATCACTTGGGTATTTTCCTGGCATATTTAGCCTTTTGGCTTCTCTCATCAGCCACCTTTTTGTTCTGCTGAGAACTTTGGCATTCTGTGTGCATCTGAACTGACAGCAGTGGCAATGGAAGTAGCTGAGTGGTGGCAAACCTCACCTAGCATGCTTTGGAAAGAAGAAGACTCTGTTAACTTTGATGTGCAATCTTTTCAGTTATCTATGAGGCTGAAACTGCACCAGCTCTTCCCCAGTCTGAGGTGTCCAGGAACTCCTGTTTCCTCTTGCCTTGGCAGGATCTGACAGTCCCTGCACCAAAAGCGGAGTTACAAGTCTCTCCACGACATCCTGAAGGTGTTGATGTGTGTGGCAGAGGAATTGGGAAAGCTTGGCCTTGCTCTGCTCTACCAGTAGCACACATGATATTCCACTGATAATGAGCCTTGCCTCAGATAATATCAGGGACATCTCTTGGTGTGCAGGAGCTGACAGCACCACTGGTAGGAGCCCAGGCAGAGGTAGCACAACCAGTACAGGACTCTACTGCTGTTAGTGTGGGCACTACAGCAGTAGTGGAGCGGTCCATCCTTCTGCTCTCTGACTGTGCTCTTCTGCCCTATTGTCCTGCAGTCTCATGATTTATGCTTGGATGTGCATCTTTTATTCTTCCCATTGCTCATACACGTGTTCTTGTTTTCAGGACTGCTCTGTGCTTTCTCATGTGGATTTTTAGTCACATGTGGATTTTTAGTGATACATGAATGCTTTTTCATATGTTCTCTCAGTCATCTGTACATTTTCAGTCTGACAATTACCCATACCTCATTACAAGGCTCTGTCATTGTTTACTCCTGTCAGTCTCATCCCTCTGCTCGTCTCGCCCTAGGAGGTGCACTGGCACTGCTGTGGGGTTGGGTAGTGACAGGGACCTCTGGAGGTGGGGTGGAGGGCTGGTCTATGCTTCTCCTCTGCTAAGCTATGCAGGCCATCTAGCTATCTATATTGCAAGAACAGAGCTAATTGGCCATCTAGCTATCTATATTGCAAGGACAGAGCCTCAGGCCCCTATCAAAATGGTTACTTTAACCGTCTACTGTTTGAAAGACAAATAATGGATTTTATGTGCTTGTGGTAACTACCCACAGGCAGCAGAAGGGTTGTAAAGAGCCCATTGATTAAATAAGTATTCATTATTGTTGAATAGATTGGTTCAAACTCATTTCCCACTAAGAGGAAGTAGTTGTGAATAGGCTGGACCTGGCAGCTGTGGGTACTGCAGAGTTCTGCTGGGTGCAGTTACTCCAAGGTGCAAAGAGGACTATTTTTAAAGTAAACAGAAATGTGTAGCATAAGCCTTTCCTGGATGTGAGGTCTCTGCTTGTGAAGGAGAACCCTCCAGCAACAGGGGCTCATTGCCGTATTCTTTTCAAGAGCAAACTTGATCCCATCTGGCTCATTTCACATATAAAAAAGTTTGTCAGATGTCAGCCCACCTTTCCTGCAAATGTAACACCTCAGTTATAAAACAACACCACATTTTGAACAACGCCCCGGAGTTGGGATTGTTGCTGTCTGCACTTGGCTGGGTCACTGACTCCTTGTGTCATGTAGAGGAGAAATAGCTTCTTTCAGTACTTAAGTTTTCCCTTTGGGGTTATAGCTACAGCCTCACCTCACATCCACAATCTGGTTTGAGTTCTAGGGCTGAATATTATGGAGTTTAAGAGCCCTAGTACAGAGTTTAAGTGCCTGACTGGGAAGTGGCATGCAGCACAGACCAGAATGGATGTCTCTGTCACTTCTGTACAATATCTGCTTCTTTCTTTGCACCTTCTATTCTTTACCAGTGGTATAGATTCTGAAAGATAAGTAGTTGGAAAAAGACCAACACATCAAAGAGAAAGTTATACGCTCTCACTTTTTTTTTTTTTTTTGTTAAGTGAAAGAATATATGCAGGAGAAAGAACTAAATATGATTTCTTGATGTTATGGAGGCTGTTACTCATACCTGGGGAGGGGGGTGTCAGAGTCTAAATACTACTTTTCCTATTCATACCATGCTTATTCCTATTGTGGGAGAGATTTTTAAATGTTTATGGGGTAGGAAGCTAAGAGATTCAGTTCTGGACATTTGGCTGTCATTATTTTACTGCTGACTAGTTTGCATAGAACTGAATGGACAAAACACAGTAGACATTACCTAGGTACTTCCCAGAGGAAAAATTACTCCTTGTTTACCTGAAAAAATCCTTCATAAAAACACAGATATTGTTGAAATGTAGCACATTTTTGATCCAGGTTTTTAATCTTTCAAATACCATCTTTAAATCCTTCTTTCCCTTCTTCGCCTCAGGTCTGCTGTTATAGCTGGTCTCCCTTACTCTGTGTCATAGGGTCATTTAAGCAGTACCTGCATGCTGGCTTCTGCTTCCTTAAAGGAAAACTCTGCTTTTGGCCCATAAAAATGATGGATGTTGGCCCATCTGAAGTTTCCTGTTTGCTGGAGGTACTAGATCAGAGTCAGATTCCATTTATGCCATATTGTCAATGCCACTCATAAGGAGTTTGAAGCCAGTGTGTATGAACTTGGGTTCTTCATAGGTGTCACCATTATTTTGATTATTTCATGACCTTTGCACAGGTACTCTTCCCTAATGTGATTTTCTTACACTGGAATGTGAATGATTTTAGTTGCATACAAAACCATTTGCAAAAATATGGTAGTAGTAATCACTAGGGTGAGAGCAAGCATTCCTCTACCCTAGAAGTATCTTTTTATGAAAGTAGATGCTTTGGAGGAAGTTTAAGAAACTATGATAGCATAGGTCTTGTCTCAATACATTGGTGTTTCCTGGTAATTACTGTTTTAAGGACTTTCTGACCTGATGTTGCATCCAGATTGTGTTCTGCAGTCATTGATGGGCATATTTTTTCTGGATATATCCAGTCTTTGTTTTTCTTAATCCACTTGTATTTTTTAACTCCACTTATCCTGTGCTAACAAGTCCCACTGTTTAATCATTGAAATCTAGAAAGTACTTTATTTCAGTTGTTTCTACGCCTGTTACTTGAGAATTTAATTCAGTAGATCCTATTTTTTGTGTTTCCCACAAATAAAGAAAAATACATTTCCTGTTCACCTTCTCTGTCTCAGTTGGGGTTTTATCTCAATCATATATATTGTCAGAGATATATTTTCTAAGCTGAAGAATTATATTCCATGTCTAACAGTTCTTTTCTCAACTTTTGCGCTTACTTGATTGGGTGCTCTGATTTGCAGTGATATGCATTTTGTGGATCAGATAAAATGCATTCACTCTCAGGTCCTCCACATGCACTCTCACATTCTCTTGTGCATGTGGCCATCTTTGCAAACACTTGCATGTTTTGTTTTCATGTTTTCAAACACCACCATTTTTGTAACCCTTCCTATTCAAATGCTTACAGGAGAATGCCACATGGAATGTCAGAATACTGTTTCTGCTGGGAGTCAAAGGAGATAG